TAAGCTGCATGATTTTTCTGCCCCTGATGCAAGTTCAGTGGGTTTGTGAGAGCCATGGGCAACATGCCATGCAATTCGATTGTTTTCTGGTAATGGGAATACATTTACATCAGAGCATCCACACTCTCCCATGGTTCTTTTCGCTCTATCGCAGATCCTTGGTGGCTTACTGGGTGTTTATTGATACATGAGGATTAGGCAAATAACTGGCTGTTGTAAAATGACCATTGTATTCTCTCTTAATTCTGTTTGTTTATTTTTATAGTGAGTTTGGAGAATTTTTAAAAAGATACGTGTAACTGATGTATTAACCAATGGCCAACTCTGTGTTTACCTCTAAGAAAGGCACATCTTATACCTTACCTCTAAAGGTGCAATATTATAGCTGTTTGAAATTCAGCTCATCAGAGAGAGGCTTGTGGTCAAGGTGTTCTAACAAATCTCACATTACATGCTGAAAGGGTCTGAAATCTTAAGGCCCTTTTATGTTAAAAAAAAAAAGTTAAACATTTTTAGAACCCTATTATGTTAAGATACTCTTTTGGGTAATTGGAGGGGATTGTGTTATTTAGGAAATACGTTTGGCTGTGAGTAACAGATGTAGCTTAAACAAATTACTGTTTTTATTTTTCTCCAATGTAAAACAAGTTCAAGGTTAGCAGTCCAGCGATGGCACAGCAGCTGCACATTGTTCTTGGTGGTCTAGGCTCCTCCTGTTTTTCTGTTCTGCCATTTTCAGTTGTCCAAGAGTATTGCTAGAGCTCCAGTCATCAGGTTCAGGTTCTAGCCAGGAAGTTAGAGGCAATGTGGAATAAAGTCAGTTTTCTATTAGTAAGGAAAAAGGGTAGAATATTGGATAGGCAGATAGCAGGCTCTGCCATAAGGGTACATACAGAAGATTAGATCTTATGTTTATCTTTTAATTTCTGATTTCCCCTCTGTTATAAAATTAATACACATAGAAAGAAATCCAAAAAATTAGAAAGAAGAAACTTCTTATTTAATATCCTAAGTCCTACTAGCCAAAATCATCAACTGTTAATATTTTGGTGTATTTCCTTTTCTCTTTTTTAAAAGCTTGGGGTTGGGATTTTGCTATTACCTATATTTTATTTTTATTTTTTTAAGATTTTATTTTAGATAATATATTTGGTACTAGACAGTAAGAGTCTTATGAATGTTGAGGAATTTCACATCTCAAAATCTATTCTAAGTAAACAATAAAATAGCACAGTTATCATTTACAATAGTAAATAACCATAAACAACCTAATGTCCCAAAACAAGAGACATTATCTAATTATCTAAAATATTTTTTTAAGATTTTATGGGGAATTGGGAGAGGAGAACAGCGTTGGGGAATGAGAAAGGGGAACAGACAAGTTGCTGTCCTTTTGTTCTTCAGTCTAGTTGTGGAAGATGTTGCTTCACTGGCCCATGTTGGTATTATCATTGTGCTTTTCTCAGCTGAGGCAGTCGCTCGCCAGCCATTAGATGACCGCTCATGGCGGCTCATGGCAGCTCATGGCAGCTCATGAAAGCGCATGACAGCTACTGCCAGTCCTACTGCAGTGTATGCTGTCGCCGACGACTCATGGCAGCCCAGCTCCAGGTCAAGCTGTAGTTCACCATCTTAGCTGTAGAGGGCGCAACGTCACTGGTCCTAATGTGGGATCTGAACCAGGGCCCTGCTGCTCAGAGCTGATGCTCCCAAGCAACTCTTAACCAATGCGCCACTCGGCCGGCCCCTGTATTTTATTTTTTTTTAACATAGTATATTTCATCAACAAATATTTGATAATAGATAGCTGATATCATATCCTCTCTAGATTTCAGTCCCTGCTTTTTCACATGTGACAAAATGCTTATGATGCAGTATTATAAATTCTTTGTAAGTGTGTGTGTGTGTATATATATATATATATGTATATATATATATATATATACATATATATATATTTTTTTTTTCTTAGCTGAGCCATCCTGCCACCTTTTGGCAGCTCAGCTCGGGCCGGGGATCAAACCACTGTTGCTCAGAGCTCAAACTCTTGAGCGAGCTCTTAACCAACTGAGCCACTCGGCTGGCCCTATGTATGTATAAGTTTTAGTGATCATATAATGCTCCTTCAGATAGATGAAACACAAGTTGTGTAGTCATTCCCCTTGTTTTGGGACATTAGGTTGTTTATGGTTATTTACTATTGTAAATGATAACTGTGCTATTTTATTGTTTACTTAGAATAGATTTTGAGATGTGGAATTCCTCAACATTCATAAGACTCTTACTGTCTAGTACCAAATTATTATCTAAATGGATTGTGCCAGTATATGCTTTAGTCGCCAATGTCCCCAAAATTTCCATTTGTTAGTATTCTTAGCAACATTAGTAATTGGGATAATTTGGAATGGGATAATCTCTCTGTTTGAATTTGCGTTTCTTTGTTAGAAAATTATAGTTATTTAATGGGAATTTGGAGGACAGGAAATGGGGCACCAGATTCTGGGCAAGCTCGACCTTGTATACCTCCAAGTTTCCTTAACCCACTCCTCCATCAGACATTGCAGTTTTGGTTCTTATCTTCAATGCTGCTAAGACCTGTCCGACAATGCCAGCATTGTTCTCAGATCACACCTTCAGGCACTATGCCTACCTCAGGGACAGCCTTTCTCATCTTGTTCCTGCCTTGAGGGTATGTTGAAAACATCTTTTTCCTTGTTTCTGGTGTTTTGAGTTTTGATCTTTTGTGGTTATTAAATAGCCAAAAGGAGACTGTGTATTCTCTGAAAATGCATTCATTCATTCTCTTTCTCTCTTGGGCTCTGTCCTATTATTTATATACTTTTGCTTCTTACCTTTTAAGAAGATTCATTTTTTTAAATGTCCCGGGGTTATTGATTATGTTATGTTAGGTAATAAAAAGGAATCTGGAACAATATATTTTAGACCACGGGTTAGATTGTGATATATTTTAACAATTACATAAAGCCATGATTCTTAACAAGTTTATTTTTAATAATAAAACCTTTATTATTTTTAAAACCTAGAGATATAGAAAAAAATTTTTTTAATGAATCATAGTGATAATAACAACAAATACTGAATGCTGTGTGCAAGCAGTTTTCTTAAACTCTTTATTTGTATTAACTCATCCCTGCTTAGCTGACTCTAAATAACTTTATTTAGAATAATATATGTACACAGTTAAAAAATTTAAACTATATAGAAGATATAAAATTAAAAGTGAACTCCTCTTTGCTCTCCCTTCCCCTTCCCTTTCTTGAAAGGTAACTTAATAGTAAGAACAAGAATTATAATTATCATCATAGAAAACATTTTTATAGTGTGCTATATAAACTAATTTGGGTATAAATCACTCTTCTATGAAGTGAGAGATCAAATAAAATTTAAATAAATGTGACAACAGATTACTTTTTAGTTCCTTTTCTATGGTTAGCCCATTTATTGCAATTAGCAATAGAAAATAATATTAGACCATTCTCCACTTTTTCTCCTTGTAGCTTGTGGCTCTCTTAGGTAGGCCATGTTCTTTTTCTCTCTCACTTTCCCTTTCTCCCACTAAAGCTGGGGAAGGAGGGAAAGGTTATTTACAGAATAACCTAGCCTTTTTTTCCTTTACTTTGTTTGGTTCACATTTTTGTTTTTCTGGTTTGTTTGAATTACCAAAAGCTGAGCCACAGAAATTTGATGGCACTGTAACCTCATTATGTTCGCTTAGTTACCAGGTAGAAAACTAGTGTCATCAGCTGTTTCCCCCAACATCACGCCTCAGGAGGATCCTTCTCATCAGTTCCTGCAGCAGAGCCTTGAAAGGGTGTACAGCCTTCAGCACCTGGACCCTCAGGGTGCCCAGGAGCTGCTCGAGCTCACCATCAGGTGAGGTGATCAGCCCTTTCCTTTGACAGGGCTAATGTTGCTGTTATGCTCTGCTTGACTGTCTTGATTTCCAGGGTTGGTTAGGCTGCTTTTGCTGACCTTGTAGACCTGCACTCACACATGGTTTTATGCTGTTTATATTTGGATTAGATTGTGGTTTGAGTATATCACAAAGAAAAACTCTTTGTGTTCATGACCAGATTAGTACAAAACTAGAAAGAATTACAAAGAAACTGTTTTTAATTTTTCCTTCCTTGTATATTAGTTAGGATGGGTGACAGAAAGGGCAAAGTAACTGATTTGGACAGAGGAAAAGGTGAATTTTTTCTTGTAGGTAGGACAGAGCTGAGATGATCATCAGGGGCCTATGCTCATTCTCTCATTTCTCCGTCTTCTGCGTGCACCAAGCAGCCTCAGCCTAAAGAGCCGAACTCTAACAATTCCTTCCCTGTTCCTACAGGAAAAGGAAAGGGCAGGAGAAGGGCATCATTTTCATCCCACCCCCGTAATCCTAAAGTTGCATGTTTTGGTTTTACTTGCATAACATTGACTAGAACTTGTCACATGGCCGGCCATATCTAGCTGCAAGCAGCCAGAAAATGTAGTCTTTATTCTGGGTGACCAGTGCTCAGGAGGAAGGGGAGGAAATTGGGGAACAACCAGCAGACCCTGCCAGACCTTAGTAGAACATCCTGAATGATATGAAAAGAACTGAAACCCATTTGTCTGCCTTTAGCAAAAGCAATATCTATCTGCTTTTGTAAATAAGTTTTGATTGAAACACGACCACACCCATTCGTTTAGGTATTGTCTACAGCTGCTTTCACGCTACAGTGGCAGAGTTGAGTAGTCCCTCAGATACCACAGGGCCTGCAAATCGTAAACTAGTTACTGTGTGACCCTTTACAGAAAAAAGTTCCCTAATCATGAAGTGTTGCCTCAATCACATTTTCTTTCTCTTCTGGTCCCTCACCAAAGTGATTAGTTTTACAGGCCACTGTCTGAAGTTGTTGGCCCTGAGCCCAGGAAAATAAGCTCTATTTCCTGACTCAGCCGCACCTAAATAAACATTTAGGTTTTGTCCTTGACAGTTCTTTTTATTTTATCCTCTCAGCACTAAAGCTAGTACAATATGCGCTGAAGGAAGCCAATTTGGTCATCAGCTGCAGTACTGGCTATGAGTAAGTGCTCAGTAAATACTTTTTGGTTTGAGTGACCCTCATGATCTGGGTTTTATGAGGTGATACTGCTAGGCTTCAAGCTGGTCAGACCACTGTTCTAATGTTGTGGTCAGTNCTCCTGTTGACTCTTTACTTGTCTCATCACTTACTGTGTGCCAAGCCCTTTGGTAAGTGTTGGAGGTACGGAGGTGAGCTGATTAGATTTTCTTTTTCTCCCATATAGTCCCCCCCACCCCTTCCCGCTCTTCTCTGAGTCAAGTCATTGTTTTCAGTCTAGTTGTAGAGGACGCAGCTCACTGGCCCATGTTGGTATTATGAGCATTGCGCTCTATGAGGCAGTCGGTTGCTGGCCATTAGCCAGCTGCTCATGGTGGCCCATGGCAGCCCACGGCAGCTCAGCTCCAGGTCTAGCCCTTGTTCACAATCTTAGTATCTTAGTTGAAGAGGGTGCAGCTTACACTGGTCCATGTGGGAATTGAACTGGCAATCCTGTTGTTCAGAGCTTGCGCTTTAACCAACTGAGCTATCCAGCTGCCCTGTCCTATATAGTGTTAATCACTGCTTTGTCTAGTTTGCATTTTGTACAGGATAATAACCATTACTGTAGAGATGAAAGGCAGGGCTGGTACGTGGTCTGCAGATTGAAAATCTCAATCATTTTGCCCCCAATTACCTCTAGCTTTATTGACTAGAATCAAACTGTTAACCCTGTTAATGAATTGCTGTTTGAAGAACTACTTGCACACATTTAATATTAAAATGTGCTCCACATATTTAGATGAGCTTATTGGATGAGATCACTACAACTATATAGTTTCTTGAGATTCAGAAAAATTTGTTACAAAGGTACTTGGAAGATATACCAGGGAGTCTTGCTCTAGGTAACATTTTTGATATCTGATTATCTGTTTTGCTATTTCTTCTTGTTTGTTCAGTCCAGTTCAGCTCAGTTCAACATACATTTATTGATTGTGTTCAGGAAGCACCCAGCCATTTGGTTGTGGGAGTTGGAGTGGGGAGAAATACCTTTATCAGTGTCTGTAGTTCTGTGTGCAACACAGAAGGAGTGATCAATTCTGCTTGATGAAAGGGATTGTTATAGAGTTTTCAGCAGAACTTCTTGCCTTAAAATAAGATTTGTGGTTATTTGGTTCACCCAGAATATGTATATAAGATTGTCTTTATTGGAGGATTGCAGACAGAAAATACCTTCACCTTATAGTGCTCCAGAGGTTTTGAAGTGACCTATTCTAATTATCACTTGATTTTTTTTTCATCTCTTCTCATGAATGGTAGCTTTATTTAGAAATATCAAAAAAGAATGTGATAAAGGAGTGAAGGAATAATCACAGTAGCATGTTTTTAAGATACTGCTAAAGATAGATACATGAATGAAAGTTTTGAAGGAGGTAGTTTGTTCTGTTTATAAACCTTTAGTTCATTCAACAAATGCTTATTGAACACTTGTTATAACCCAGTCACTGTGTTAGGTGCTNGGCTGCTCAGCTCGGGCTGGACTCGAACCACTGTTGCTCAGAGCTCAAACTCTTGAGCGAGCTCTTAACCAACTGAGCCACTCGGCCGGCCCTTTGACTGTCTTTAAGCAATGATTTTTAAATTAATGAATTCAGCTTGTGTAAACTTTAAAAAAATTGCAATATATGTAAACTTGTACTCTTACGATATTTTTTAAATGCTACCTGTTGCCATCACGTGGACTTTGGATTGCTAAACTGTGTGCCTTGGAGAGCTGTTTTGCCCTGCCAGGTCACATCTGTGGAAATGTGGCATAATATATATCTGATTTTCAATCAGTTTTGGTGTCATCTTTATTTGATGTAGTTCATAAATATATGGAAAGAGTTTAATAGCAAATAAATAAATGAAATACAATATGATCTGATTTTTAAAAAAAGACTTTTAGATCAGACAGACCTGAGTTTATGGCTTATTTTTGCTATTTATTAATTCTGTGACCTTGGGCAAGCCATTTAAACTCTGACCTTCAGTTTCAGTCTCAGCAAAATGAGATTAATTGCAGGTCACATAGTAAGGATTAAATGAGCTCAAGTAAGGAAACACCTCACACACCTAATATAGTGTACATAGGAGGTGCTCTGTGTGACCTTTTCCACTAAAGAGTCCATAGCACCCCGAGGGTTGTGTAAACTGAGGCTTCCTGAGGAGTGTGGGCAGAAAGAGGTGCAGAGAGGAAACTCTGGGACACAGAGCATTTTGCCCAGGGCTAGCAAGTTTCTATTTTTTTCTTGTACAGTAGTTCAGATTCCCCACGGCTAGTTGGGTTGCATCTTGTTCTGTGCAATTCAGAACAGTAGCTCTGGTGCCAGGATGGTGTAACTTAACACCTGTCAGCATTCAGCTAATGTATATTCAGCTGGGCAGTGTTCGCTCTAATTGTAACAAAAGGTAGACTATTCCTGGAGTGGAAAGGTTCAGGAGTAAAATGATTTGGGGCTGTTTTTTCAAGAGAGACATCAGAAATGCAGAAAAAGAGACCAGTAGGCCACCAAAATAGAACTTCACAGGTGTGATTGGCGAGTACAGGGTCTTGCCTTTTATTGTGCTAGATTCCTACCCATGAGCAGGCTTTCCAGGACAAGCTCAAGCCACCAAAACTCACTAGAGATGATATATAAGCTACAGTCCACAATTTCTTCAGTCACTTTGGGAATAATTCACTCTGTGCCCCTTTCTAGGGCATCTCCTTCCAGGTTTAAGGTCCATAGGAGGCAGCATTAGCTACCAGAAAGTTGCCTGAGCTTATAGGGAGGAGCTCAGTCTGATGAAGTTTTATACAGACTGCAATGAAACCTAATATATTATGCCAGCCCTGAAACAATTTTTCTCACGACCCAAATCTTCAGGCTTCCCACAGTTATCATTTCTATATGAAATGTTGATGCTGCCATTAAAAAACAGGGCAGCTTTTTATGAGTATGAGTTCTTTCTGGGATGGATTGTTAGGACCCACACACGCGCACACACACGTAGGTGCCCCTCTCCAAAAGAGAAGAAGAAAGAAGAGAAAAAGTACTTTTTGTAGGTGTAGAGTATATCTTCAGAAGAATTCAAAAGAAACTAGTAATGGTGGTTCCTCTGGAAAGGGTGTACTGGTTAGCAGTACACAGGTATAGGAAGGGAGACTAGTTTATTGTATATACCCTTTGGTATCTTGGGATTCTATACCTTATTGGTGTAATTCTATAGCTCCTGTGTTATCAGTGTATTTTCTATTCAAAAATTAAAAATTTTCAATTAATAATCCCAGTCCCCAACACAACTATTTTATCTGTGTCTGCCACTTTCTATTTTCTTGTCCACAAGCAGATATGTTTTATTTGGTTCCAATCACTTTGCCTGTACCCATATCCATTTAGGATGCTATTAATTGCAGGTATCAGAAAACCTTATCTCAAACTAGCTTACAATGGGTATTTATTTTTTCATGAACAGAAATTGAAGGTAGTTCTAAATATGGTATGGTCACATAGTTCATTTATATCATTAGAGACCCAATTTCTGTCATTTTGGATTTTTACTGTTCTTAGCATTTGCTTTATCCCAAGGCTTTTTCCTATTAGAGCTAAGTGTGTCTGCCTGGTAATCAGTGTTATAACCCATCTTGTTCAATCTAGTGAGACATAAAGATAGACATAGAGACATAAAGATGAAGAGAGATACTGACAGACATTGAGAGACACCATCAGACCTGCTCCAAGCATGGAATGTAAGTCCTTACATTAGGACTAATAAGGCCAACTTAGGTCTTATAAACAGGGAGATGACATGTACTAATTGGCTTAGTTCATTCAGACTCTACCTGGGACTGGGTTTGGGAACCTTCCCTTGAACAAAATCAGGGTTCAATCAGTAAGGAAGAAGTGGAGAATGGCTAACTGGGCAGGCAGCCAACAAAGTTCACTACAATACCTTGAAAATTTTTTTTCTGATGATACAAAAAATACTCATGCATTGTATAAAACACTTGGAAAATAAAGCATAATTGGGGAAATCACTAAAAAGTACCCTAATACCTCTATCCAGAAAAACCACTTTGCTATATTTTTCTTCTATACATAGTTTTTACATGGTTGAGACCATAGACCTTACTACCATTTTATATTTTGATGGTTATAGAATATTCCATTGACAGTACAGTAATATTGAGCAATTCTTCTACCATTGAATATTTAAGTTACTGGGTTTTACTATTATAGTCCACACAATGAATATTATGGGCTCTGAAGCATTTCATTTTTATTGAACATTTTCCTTAGAATGACTTCTCAGCATAAAGCTACTGATCAAAATATTTGACCATATGTGTGACTTTTATCACATAGTACAGTTTTACTTTCCAAAAGAATTGTATCAGTTTAAACTGCTAGCAAAGTATAAGTGAATTACTTTCATTATAACCACTTCAGCATTGGGTGCTGTGATTTAAAAATTTATGACCAGTTTACTAGGTGTAAAATGGTGAAATGCTTTGACATGATTTTTATATTGGTGTCATTATCCTTAACTTATGTTGGCTTGGGTTTTTATTTACTACAGGGATCTGCAAAGACTTGGAGAACTTCAGTCTGAATTGGCAGGAGTAGCTGATTTCTCTGCTACCTATCTTCGGTGTCAACTTCTTCTCATCAAGGTGGGCTTGGATCCATTATGTTCATAGTTGTGATGCAAAGAATGCACTTTAATGGATCCAGCAATGTTTGAGACCATAGGTGGAAAAATATATGGTTTTCTGTAGCCATTTGGCAATGGAGAAATTATGTACTCTGCAGTGTAATTATATTTCTCTTTAATTACAAATTGTTAACTCATGTAGCAATTTGAATTTCTTTTAATTTGGGAGAATTCTTTCATCATCTATAATTAGAGCAAATTGGATACATAACTATTTTTTACTAGAATCCCAAGGATTGTCATTGTTTTTTTTTATGATTTGATTAGCAAAGAACTTGTATGAGCTTTTATAATATTTTCTTAAAGTGGTGATTTTACTTTGTCAGAATCAAATTAGTCAAAGGTTGATTTCATTGCTCTGAAAAGGGCCAACTTGATGGCATTTCATACTAGGTAGTCAGATTATATATATACACACAATTGGTACCCAAGAAGCTGTTTCAGTTTGCTGAGTTGTAAACCAGTTAAACTAGTTCAATAGCTTTCAGCTCCTGCATCAGAGTGTAGAGTTCTGCTATAAATTGAGGCTTAGGATTTAGGAGAGCCCTTCTTACTTGATAAACCTTTATTTTGGCTTTAGTTCCAAATGTTATTAATCTTCAAAATGATGAATTGGGTGGCCAGTTGGCTCAGGTGGTTAGAGTGTGGGCTCATAACACCAAGCTTGCTGGTTAGATTCCCATATGGGTCAGTAAGCTGCATCCTCCACAACTAGATTGAAGACAACAGCTTGACTTGGAGGTGAGTTGCCGGTGGGCAGCCGGTTGGCTAAGTTGGTTAGAGTGCGGTGCTCATAACACCAAGGTTGCCAGTTCGATTCCCACATGGACCCGTGAGCTCCACAGCCAGATTGAAAACAGCTGCTTGACTTGGAGCTGATGGGTCCTGGAAAAACACACTGTTTCCCCAATAAAGTTAAAAAAAAAAAACAAAAAGAAACCACTTTCTTAAAAAAAAAAAATGAGGGGCGGTTGCTTAGCTCAGTTGGTTAGAGTGCAGGCTCATAGCACCAGGGTTGCCGGTTTGATCCCCACATAGGCCACACTGAGATGCACCCTCCACAACTAGATTGAAACAACTACTCAACTTGGAGCTGATGGGTCCTGGAAAAACGCACTGTTCTCCAATTAAAAATAAACAAAAAACAAACAAAACTTTGAAGTAATGAGAGGTGTGGCAAAGGACCACACATATATTAAAAAAAAATGATTAATGATATTTATTTAAAGTCAGAGTAAATGCAGGAGTCAGAAATGGTTTCCCATTGTAAGTTTTGTGAGCTTAGGGTTTTACAGGTATGTGTGTGTACATGTGAAGGTGGGTGTGTATGTTGAAGTGGGTTGAGATTTAAACAGCTCTTCTTTGCCTAGATAGATTCTTTCAAATGTATATATCTGCATAACCACCACCACAGTCAAGATATAGACTTTTTAAAAAGATTTTATTGGGGATTTGGGGGAGGGAAACAGACAAGTTGCTGTCTTTTTGTTCTTCAGTCTAGTTGTGGAGGACACCACTTCCCTGGCCCATGTTGGTATTATGATCATTGCGCTCTTCCTGGCTGAGGCAGTCACCCGCCGGCCATTGGACTGCCGCTCATGGCGGTTCACGGCAGCCCACTGCAGTCCCACTGCAGCCTACACCATCGCCGGCGACTCACGGCAGCCCAGCTCCAGGTCGAGCTGTTGTTCACCATCTTAGCTGTAGAGGGCACAGTGTCACTGGCCCATGTGGGAACCAAACCAGCGGCCCTGCTGCTCAGAGTTCGCACTCCCAAACCAACTCTTAACCAGTTGAGCCACTCGGCTGGCCCCGATATAGACTACTTCAATTATCCCAAGAAGTTCCTTCATGCCCCTTTGCAAAATTGTTTGGCTTTTCCAAGCTTCTATGAAACAGGACTAATAATAACTCTACCCAGGTAAGGATGGCAACAAGCAATGTGTCTGTGAAAGCCCTTGGCCTGGTGTCTGATGCATAGTGAGCTCTATGTCACTGTTGTCTTCCTCCTTCTTCCCTGGCTTACTATCTTCTCCATGGGAACACAGGAAGGCCTTTGAAAAGAACTCGCTTCACTGTAGTAGGAAAAGAGAAAAGATAACTCCTAAAAAGAACACAGAATTGATGTTGTTTACTCAGTGTCATGGAGGTGCAGGTTAAGAGAACCAGACTTAAAACCCGAGGCAGGCAGGTGATTGACATTGGGGGACAAGCTAACTCAGCAGTGGCATATCTGCACAGTATATGCTGTAGCCAGTAATGATCGTTATGAAGAATTATATAACAACATCACAGACTAGAATGTACTGTTATGTACCCAAAAAGCATACAAAATTAATTCTGTTTTCTGGCTACAACTATATAAAAAGCATGCATTTGAGAAATGATTAGAAGCAAATATTCAAAAACAGTAACTCTGTTAAGATAGTATGATTTGAGTGATTTAAAAATTTCTGTATCCGTAGTCTAGACCTGCCACTGTCTAATATAGTCACTGGGTACATGCGACTATTAAGCAACTTGAAGTGTTACTCAAGTTGAAATTACTGTAAGTACAAATACACACTAGATTTCTTAGACTTAGTGTGAAAAATGAACGAAAACGAGCTCAGTAATTTTTAAAATATTGATTGCATAGTGAAATGATAATATCTTGGATATACTGGGTTAAGTAAACTATATTATTAAAATTAATTTCACCTATTTTTATTTTTAAAAATGTTGCTAGAAAATGTAAAATTACATGACTTGTGTTATATTTCTATTGGACAGTGTTAGTCTAGGTTTTCTGTAATGTCATTGAATTATGCCTATAATTAAGAAGGACTGTGAAAATTAGAGACTGTAGCAGATGTTTAGACAAGAGATGAGAGGCGGGGCCATATGGATGGATAGGAGAGGAAAGAGAGAAGATAAAAATATGTGGCTCTAAATGGTAGTTTTGAATGTAGAGATATTGAGAGAGGATGGAACCAAAAACGCTCCCTTGATTTCTAGTTTGGGTATGCTCTAAGGTGATGGGGCTATTTAAAGGATAGTGAGCATGGGGCAATGGACAAAGAACCACAGTCAAGGAAGAAAGGTCTGGGCAGTCAGGGTAATCCAGCGGCTCTGAGAACAGGAAGGGCTCAGAGCCTCTGAAGCTGGCTTTCCTGGCCATTCTGGCGAGGCCTTCATGGCTCCTGCACTTGGCTTGCAAGCACTAGCCTGGGACAGGACCTCTGGGCCAGGAATTGGATTGAATAGGGAGGAGTCATTTAGCCCAAACCATTGATCACCACGCTCTCCATAATAAGTAGGGCTTATTGGCTTAAAAGAATAAGACTGGGAGGAAGTGCTGCTCATGGTCGATTTTTTTTATTAAATTATTTTTTATTATGAAATACACATTTTTTAGAATTAGTTTCAGCTGTACAACACAGTGCAATTGTTATACTTTTTACCCCTCGAAGTGACAACCCCCCCCCCCATGGTCGATTTTAAAAGCAAAACAAACATGTAAGTCTCAAAAGATGTGCCAGTCTTTGTGACCTCTGTGTTCTGCCCTCTCCTGATTTGTCTTTGTAGGCCTTACAGGAAAAGCTGTGGAATGTGGCCGCCCCTTTGTATTTGAAGCAGAGTGATTTGGCCTCAGCAGCAGCAAAACAGGTAAACGTATGGAGACTTTCTCCTCAGTAGATCTCTGTCCAGGAATTGTCTCGTCCAGGTCAGAGCCAGAGGCCTTCACATGGCTCCATGTCTCTGCTGTGGCCACCCCAGTTTCAGCCTGTGATGACAGAAGTTAGTGATGTGAGAGGCAGCGTAACTAGGGGTCATAGCACTGGCTTAAGAGTCAGTGGACCTGGGCTATAGTCTCCGGGCTGCCTTGGATTTGCAGGGTGATTTTGAGCAGATTACTTATCCTCCCTGGATTTTTCCTCCTCTGTAAAGTATGGCAGCTCAATTAGGTAATTTCTAAGATTATTTTGTGTTCTAATATATTAGCTTGTATTTTAGATATACCAAAATTCAATAACTACTATACTGAATCTTTCATCTGAAAATGTAGGTGAGCACATTTTCAGGTTGTTTATATTTTTAGTCTGTACCATTTCTTGAGTGTTAAAAGGTCCTTATGTTTCTCCTCAGTTCATTAAGTAGCATTTCATTTTATTTTATTTGCTTTGAGCTCATGTCTTTTTAGCATTGAGCAGTTTCCCTTCATTCTTAGGTATTGGGATTTGGTGAACTCTTCTGGGTCAGATCTTCCAGATAGCGAGTCTGTATAGGACCGAATGATTATGACCCAGTAGGAAGCTAATGATGGTGACTGTGATTGCTACATTACAGTTCACCAAATGATTTCAAGTTCATTTTAATTAACCCTCATAGTAAACAATCCCATTAGGTAGGAATAAGGATTAAGCCCATTTTACAGGTGAAACAATTAGCTCGGCAAGGTTAAATTCATAGAGCTATAGGTAATAGAGTCAGGGATGTTGAGCCCAGATCCTTTGCTACCCAGAGTCTGTTTTCTTTCCACTAGTCTGCTTGATCTCTTATCTGGTCTAGGCTCCCTCTCAGACCTACTGTGTGGCTTATTGTAGGGGAGTAGAACTTAATGACAAGAATCCCAGAATGAGCCTTGTTGGGAGGAAGGGGACCAGGGAGCAGTAGTCTGGAAGAAAGAGAGGAAAGGACTTACCACTGCTATGTTCCAGATACTGTGTTAAGCTCTTTCTATGCCCCATTTAGCCCTTTAAATTTTATAATGTTGATACTGTTTCTCCCCTATTTACAGACAGGGAAACTGAGGTTCCATGTAATTAAGTAACTTGTCTTACTGTCAGTTGGAGGAGAGCCTGGAGTTATTTCTCTGACCCTAAAGCCTTCACAGGAAGGCAGGCGCAAATGGGGAAGAGAAGCATCATTTGGATGGAAGTAGCTGATTTGGATGGAATAGAGCACGAGTTTCAGATGCACTAGGCTTGGGTGAGGTCATCGGCACTGTTTTCTGCACTGATTCCCTCCCCAAACTCCCTTCAACAGAGCAGGCTGAAACATTCTGTGTGGATGACTAACAGGTGGTTAATTGTTCCTGATGTTATATTCTTGAGGACTTTTCCTGGGGATTGAATTTCCGTACATAACCTACAATCATTTGTTCTCACAGCACAGTGAGTTTGGTTTAGGGTGACAAGCAGTGCTTTACAATTTTATAAGTGATTCAACTTTCATACCTTTGCACCATCAACTAAGGACGTTTTTATTACCAGAAGAAAGTCTTTCACTTTTCAATTGACAAAATAATTTATTCTCTTTTTGCAAGACATATTATACATTTCTCTCAACACTTGCAGCAGTTTCTCTCAAATTACATTGATTTCTCTCAACATAGGCACTTAAAAATCTCAGTTCAGAATTAAAGCATAGGCAATAAAAAAGAAACTCGGTTCAGTTTCACCCACAATTCTGTGCTGCTCTCAAGGAAGACTTGATATTTTCACTGATCATTAATTACCTTTTCCTTACAGATCATGGAAGAGACCTACAAAATGGAGTTCATGTATAGTGGTGTGGAGAATAAGCAGGTGGTGATTATACATCACATGAGGCTGCAGGCCAAAGCCTTGCAACTTATAGTAACGGCACGAACTACTCGAGGGTAAGATGTGCCGCTGGCCCGAAGGGGTGGCATGGTCCTTTAAGAGACATTCAGCGAGATCTCACCAAGGTTAATGATAAGTAAAATGATATTCAGGAAAGATTAGCTAAGGGATATTGTCATTCATTTTGTCAGATAGTCCCAAGTTCTATTCATGGATTAGATTAGATCCTTGGAAAAACCCTCCAGTGACTCTCCATTGCCTATAGCATAACATAGAACTTCATCGAACAACAGGGATATTCTGTATGGTCCTTGATAGCTTTCTGTAAGAATTTAGTACCAGGACCCACCTCTTCTCTTCAGAAGAGACTAGAAAACTCACTTCCAAGCAGTAAAGACGAATTAAGAGAATGTACTATACAGCAAGACTTCCTTGTTCAAATCCTGACCTCTCCAATTACTAGCTGTTTGATTACAGACAGGTTTTTAAACCTCTCTGTGCCTTGTTTCCCTGTCTGTAGAATGAGAATGATGGCAACATCTATCTCATGTGGTTTCTATGAAGAATGAATTGGATAATACATGTAAAAGCACTTAGCATGGTACTTGGTACATAGTAAGAGCTCAATGTATTGTTTTTATTTTAACTTCTCTGAAATTAGATATTTTGATGGTGTGCTATAGTTTGATTGAAAGTGGTTTTTTGTTTGTTTCTTGGTTTTTCATAAAATAAAGATGTATCTTAAGAATTATGGCATCAAAAATATTCTACATTCGTAGTATTTATGTAACTCGTTGCCCCATCAAAGACACATCTGATGCTCAGAGGTTCAGCAGTTGTGTCAACCTAAAAGTGGTATAGAAAAATAAATATGGATGTTTAAGTAAGCACTTAAAAATACTAGGTCAGAAAGAACATTCTGAATATTATTTTATTTCTTCACTTATCTTAATAGTGACTTGATAAACTCAGTAATTTAATCTTAGAGATATCCATACATTCATTTAACAAATGTTTAGTCCTTACTACTCAGTCACAGTTGAGAAAAGAATAGGTGCTTTTGATGACATCTACTTTTTTATTTAAAGAAAGTAGATATATTTTTCAGTTTATATGATTGTAAAAATTTAAATATTGCAGGTTAAGAAAACAGTCTCTGATAATCCACGTCTTCTAAAACCACAAGCCAGATAAACGTGTAAATGATAAATGTGTGTGTATTAACATAAATCAAATCCTAATTTACTTTGCTGTTCTGCCTCCTTTTCATTTCACCCAACAATGTAATATTTAATCTTTTCATGCCATTATATAAAGATTCTAATATATTTGGTCTTTACTCATGCTATATTAGTCTTCCATTTGTATGCATTCCTGCTTCTTTTTTTCCTTTCTTGATTTTGGCTGGATCTATTATTTGTTTGTTTCTTACTCCTTCTAGGAGTTTAAAAGTTGTATACCCTAATTCTAACCCGTTCAAGTGAGAGGCAGAACGTAATAGTTGAGAGGGTTGTGGTGCCTCACTGCATGGGTTCAGACGTTGACTACACCATTTGCAAACTTTGTGACCTTGGATAAGTCACATAAACCCTCTGTGCCTCAGTTTGTTCCTCTAAGTTAAATTGGTATAATATTAGTACCTGTCTCTCCCTTATAGGGTTATTATAAAGATTACTGAGTTATTATATGTAAAGTCTTTAAAATGTTGCCTTACACATTCAGAGTAAACAATTGATAAAAGTTAGCTCAGATTAGTTTTATAAATAGTATTTTAACTCTTATGTTTTTAATCAACATATCAAACTTTTATCAGCATAAAAGAATTAAATAGTTTATGATCACCTCTGTGAAGATCACCTCAGATCAAAATGAAAGTTTTGGTGTGCTTTTATTTGATTGGAATTTTGTTTTTATTTGATTGGAAGCTATTTAATTTGGAATTTAGCCTATGTTTTTATAATATATCTCTTATTTTAAAAATTCTTTCTTAAAATATGCATTCATCTTTATACGTACATTATGAATTATTTAGCTCCAGTTTACCTGCCACTGTTTTATACTCTAGTTGCCTTTTGAAATTCCTTGTTCTAATTCAGTTTATTGACTGGAGCACATTCTCCAGCAATTCTTTTTCAGAATAAGTATATAAACAGTATACTCACTGAGACCTTGCATGTCTGAAACTGCCTTTCTTTTGCTCTCCACATAAATGGAATTCTTTCAGAACTCTGTAAATATTACTATGTTGCCTTTTAGTATTTAATATTGCAGTTAGGATGTCTAATGTCAGTCTGGTTTTCTTTATTTTGTAGGTAGCTTATTTTTCCTGGCTCAAAGCTGTAAACTTTTCTTTCTATTTAGAATTCAGAAATTTCACCAGTATATGTCTAGGTATGTGTTTCCTTTCAATATTCTTAGTGACCTTCATTGGGACTTTGAAGTCAACTCTGTTTTTAGCTCGTTTTTTCCCTCCTCCATTATTTCTTCAATTACTTCTTCTTCTATCCAGTCTCTCATACTGCATATTGTATCTTCTGAATCTATTTTCTCTACATCTTATCTTTTCTCTCATAATTTCAGTTTTTTGGTTTTGTTTTTCTACTCCATATTCTGAGTAAATTCCTCAATATGCTCTTTTACTTTACCATTTCAGTTTTCATCTTTTTTTTTTTTAAGATTTTTTTATTGGGGAATTGGGGGGATGGGAACAGTGCTGGGGAATTGGGGGAAGGGGAACAGACAAGTTGCTGTCGTTTTGTTCTTCAGTCTAGTTGTGGAGGACGTTGCTTCACTGGCCCAAGTTGGCACCATCATTGCGCTCTTCCCGGGCAAGGCAGATCAGTCGCCGGCTTCTGGACGGCCGCTCACTGCGGCTGCTGGCCACTCACGCTGGCGGCTGGCTACATACGGTAGCCCATGGCAACCGACTGCCACAGGGGCTGCAGCCTATGTCGCTGGCGACTCACGGCAGCCCAGCTCCAGGTTGAGCTGTTGTTCAACATCTTAGCTGCAGAGGGCAGTGTCACTGGCCCTCATATGTGGGATCCGAACCGGGGCCCTCTGGCATCCCAAGCCAGTTCTTAACCATCGCGCCACTTGGCTGGTTCCATCATTTTTTATTCTAGTATTTTTTTGTTGATTTCATTATTACAGTAGTCTTCTCTTATCAGTGGGGAATGCGTTCCAGGATCCCCAGGGGATGCCTAAAACTGCAGATAGTACTGAACCTTACGTATACTATGTTTTCTTCTCTACATACATCCCTTTTCACTTAAAAGAAGCACTTTATGGCTTCTCTTTGGCATATCTGAATAGCCAGCATCACTACTCTTCTGCTTTGGGGCCACTATTAAGTAAAACAAGCATTACTTGAACACAAGCACTGTGATACTTTACCAGTCGATCTGATAATCAAGATGGCCACTAAGTGACATATGGGTGGATAGAATATACGGCGCGGATATGCTAGACAAAGGGATGATGCATGTCCCGGCTGGACAGCGTGAGATTTCATCACGCTGCCTACTCAGAATGGTGTGCAATGTAACACTTAATTGTGTGTATCTAGAATTTTTCATTTAATATTTTTGGGCCATGGTTGACAGCAGGTAACTGAAACCACAGAAAGTAAAACTATGGATAAGGGGGTACTGCTGTACTGTATATTTCCAAGTGTGCATTCTTCATTGTACCTTTTTTGTAGCGTTTTCTCTTGCTTTATCAATGCAGTAGTCTTTCAGAGCTCCTCTTAATCTTGTGGTTGCTTATTCGATTTTTTCATAAAAAGTTTTCTGTGCTTTCTTCCCTTGACTTTATCCCTTTGAGGTCTGCTTGATCTACTTTACAGCTCGTGATTATCCTATAACATCTAGTAATTTTCCATTGTCTCTGCATACTTATAAATGAAAATCTAGACTAGTTTAAATTGGTGATTGGTGTAGGCTTCCCCAGCAGTTGTAGGTCAATGCTTCATTTTCCCTGGTGGGCCTCATTTTTCCACTGCTTTCCTTCCCCACACCAAAGAAAAAGTGGGGGTGCTTAGTGGTAGATGCCTACTTCATGTAGCATGTAGTCGAGGCTTCCTGCTATGTTTTGGGGTTTGGGGAGAGTTCTCAAATCTTTTTGTATTTTATTCCCTGGAAGCTCTCCAAGCTGGTTCTATATAAGCAGGCCCCAAAATGGCACTGCTTGGCCACATAGCTTTTCTTTCAGCCCCTGCGTAGCCAGAGTTCTCCCATCCAGCCCTCTCACCCTTTGCAGGTCTTTGATGGGTTAACCTCACTATCAAATTTCTGTTCCACTCTGGTAGTTTGTATCAGAGTTAAGAAAGTTTCAAGTGCTCCCTGTCTAGGAAACTAATTTAACTGAATGGTGCTTGTAAAGTAAGTTTCCCCTACCATTTCTCGTTTATTCTTTCATTCCATGAATATTTATTGAATAGCTGCTTATGTCAAGAAATATATGATGAACAATACAAGGTCCCTTCTCTCATGGAACCTACATTTTAGTAGAAAGACTAAACTAGGTTGTTGAGAACCTTGACACCATTATCTTACATGCTTTTGTATAAGGCAAAGTGTATTTGTTTATCTTCACTGGAACTTTATTCCTCCAGTAAATAATATATTAATGAAAATAAATGGGAAGTTTTATGCAGAAATTATAAGAACTAAGAGGATGCACAAAGATCAAAAGGAAAAATCCATTGTGTGATTAGTAAGTTACACTGGCCTAGCATGTTGCCTGGATTATTTACAGATGCAGTTAGTTTTTACTGAAATGAAATACTCTAAGTACTATGAGGCTGGAGAAGTCAAAATAGGAAAGATTATAGTCCGTGTCTGTGGGCAAAGTAGTAACAAAACCTATTCCCCTTCTGCATGAGAACTTGAACTTTCTAGGTCTGTTCCCTGGAAACCTGACAGTGTCAACTATATAACTAGGTAACACTGCTGTGGTAAAAATGATCTCAGAAAATTACATATAGACTAGAAGGAACTATAAATGAACTATAATTACCCGATGCAGGCACCATAGCTGTGGGCTTCATTGAGTGCAGTGATTCTTGTAACTGGGCATGTCCCTTGTGGGGACACTGGGAAGTATGCCTGTGGAGTTGTTTCAAGAGCTGTTAGCACCTATGGACTGTGAGGCTTCTGAGCCAGGATGGTCTCCACACCTGCCTGATGTAGATGTCATCTCCTTGCACCCAAACTGTCAGCTGCGGAGTCAAATCTCCCAGACAGCTATGTGGATTGCTGAATGGGCTGCTGCACGGACTCCCGCAGAGGGGAAACGTGACACCGCACTGCCTGCAAACTGTGCTCCTATCCTTAGTGAATCTGGTGCCAAGTGTGGCCTGGGATAACCTTTGATTTTGAACATTCATTGAACCTAGGTGGGCACTGCAGTGTTTTAATTGGGTCTTGGGATCCAGGAAAATACTTCCCCTAAGTCTATTAGCAGTCCTCTATTTATTTTAGAGATTCTTTTTTTTTTTTAAGATTTTTATTGGGGAATTGGGGGAAGGGGAACAGACAAGTTACTGTCCTTTTGTTCTTCAGTCTAGTTGTGGAGGACGTTGCTTCACTGGCCCAAGTTGGCATCATCATTGCGCTCTTCCCCGGGCGAGGCAGATCAGTCGCCCGCTTCTAGATAGCTGCTCACTGTGGCTGCTGGCTACACACGGTAGCCCATGGCAACCCACTG